AATACAAGTAGTTCTAAATACGACAGTTGCGCTCAAATTTTTTTTATGTGTCGTGCATATTGCTCTTAATGTGTTTCTATATTTAAAATCTATAGTACAAAACAAAGCCAAGTTAGGTTTTCTCGGATATTGCAGATTTTCTAAAAAACCATAAAAGTTAAGCTTCAATTAAAATATTAAATATCCTGCCTCCCTAAGTTTAAAACCAGATCAGACCACAGAGAGAGCCACATTCTTTTCGTAAGCAAAAATAAAAAATTAATTTCGTATCGCTATTTGATAGTGGTTTCAAAGAATTCGAAGGGAAATAGTCGCAATTTGTTGCGAAAATGTTATCTTAGATTCGTAATCAGTAAGGCAAAATATTCATATCTGAAATTTTTTGTTTATCACCTGAAGCAACAACACTAATCTGCGAACACAATCTTAGATGAACAAATTTGCAGCTTTATTGGCTTGCACTCAAATTGAAGGTGTTGTGACATGCCTGTCGGTTTGAAACATTTTCATTTCATAATACTTAGATACCATATTGCATAAAATGACAGGAGAATTATGGAGTTTTTAGATGCTTTCATACTTATGTCTTATGGCCAATGGCCTTACGCTGGAAAATATTGGACGAAAACTTTGTTTCCGTTTGTAGACAGATTGTCAATAGAAGCCACTGTGCGACGGTGGCAGCGGCGGAGGGCGACGATTGCACCGCTGTTGGTTGCAAGTCTGGCAAACGGCAAAATAAAACAATTCGTTTCATGCTACGCCACATGGTCGAGAGTTGAGAGGCGAGACTTCAGGTCCGCTTCGAGCTCTACTCGTTCCATGTCGCGTCTGCCGCCTTGCAACCTAAAAGTTGTTCTAGACAATGAACATTTTGTAATTGCACAAGTGTCACACTTGTGTTGGTGGTTGATTGTACAGGTTGCCGGCACAGGTAGGGTTCGGCCTTTAAGTGTGTGTGAGCCTGTTGGTGGCCGATAGCAAAAACAATAGCCATATGGGCAGCTGAGTTGAGTGTATTATGAAAATTCATTTCATTATGATTTGCTGGCACACTGGTCAAAAAGTTGCGATAATTCACTAACAATGAAAAAGCATTGTCAGTGCACTAGCTTATCAACAGGTATTGTTTATGGAGCTATTTAAGTATTACGGTTACTATTATTTTAGTATTTAAACAGCGATTGCAGAGTGCTAACCCTTGGAGGATTGTAGAGTTGAAACGCAATATTAACGGCCCTTATGTTCCCACTCAGTCAAGCGAAAATATGGCATCTATGTACATATACACATACCAATCCATCTATCATTATCATTTACAATAGGTTCGGCGAATTCTACAATCAACAAAAAGAAAGAGATGTGCAAAAGAACATATATTTTACAATTTTTCAACTGCACTTTTGTCTGATCGGAATAAAATGACGAGTAAAAATCATAAGAATGTGATTGCATATCAAACGAGTTAATAGGTTGGCTTACAACAATAACTTTACTCATTTATGGCCCTGATCCGTGATCTACATACTGTGTCCTTACTATCTATATCTAATCTTCTACTTATTATAAAGCCAATTCATCATAATTTGCATTTTCATAGACATCACGAGTCTTTGGATAACACAATGATAGAATTACTGACAAATGTCAATATTGTGGAAGAATTAATCAAACAATTAATTGATCTGCTGTTAAATTAAGGCAAACTGATATTTGTGATTCTTAAATTTTCTCAAATGAATTGCACTAGATTTAAAGCATTTTCAAAAGAGCCAAAGGGCCGCCTGTTTTCAAAATTAAAGTGTAGCCCAACGTTAAGATGCCTATAAAGAAATAATAGTATATGTATGTATATATAATAGCACCCTTGGTAGCCTCCGCTTAATATACATATTTCAAATATATTATTCCTCTACTCTGCTCTACTCTATTGCAGGCAGTACAGTAAAGGAATAATAGTATATATATCATAGCACCCTTATCCTCTTGGTAGCCTTCTCTCAATATATTTCAAATATATTATTCCTCTACTCTGCTCTACTCAGTACAGTATATTACATCTCAATATATAACTCTAACAGACAAATAAACTATTATGAAAACCAACAATATCATCATCATAAGCATCATAGCCCAACATCGGCCAACTGAACGAAAATGAAATGAAAATTGTAAGTACACTAATTCTGATTACCTCAGCGCCATGGACATAAAAAGTTGCCTCAGTCGCTGGCGGCCAAAACTGGCCCGACAAATGCGCATTGCAGCAAACACTATTTTGGCCAACTCCCGGTCCGGCAAGACTAATGTGCATAACAAGAAAAAAACTCCTAAAATTGCAAGTTTAAAACGAGTTTTGGAGCGTGTTTTTGGTGCCGCCAGACAGGCTCGCCGCCAATCGAAGGCATCTGGCGCTTACGTTACCGCTGCCACTGCCACTGACGCTGGCGGGTGCAGCTCGAGGCGGCACCAATTATCATGGATTATTGCCCATGGCTGACAAAACACATGCCACCCTTTTTGAATGCCGCTGCAGCTATTATTTTATCATTAAAATAAAAACAAAGCAGAGGCATGCAAAAACTGCTTCCGCCTTTTGCCTCGCCACATGAAAATCAACGTACACACATAAATTGACGCACGTTGCCGCCCCCGGCAGGGCAAAGCAACAAAGAAAATAAATAAATAAGAAAACAATAACACGAACTTTGGGAACATTTTCATAAAAACAAAACTGCGGCAGCGATGGCAGCGGAAAATGGCAAAAACAAAACACACAAGACGTCACTGCAAAAGTGAATTGATTTTCATATGTGGCGGAAAAATGTTCGCTTTGAGAAAATGTTGAGAAATAATTGTGTAATAGAGAAAAACCGTCAAGGCAGCTCCCACATAAAAATGGCAAAAGAAAAACTGGCTCAAAAGCATTTCTGTCCAATTGGGTAGCACGAGGGGCACTGTGGGCCAATTACAAACGTTGGAGCAAAAATCAAAATCACAAAAAAAAAACAATAACCTTTAATTTTTCACTCCAAATTGTCATACTAAGATACAAAATCGTGTACTGATATTAATTAATTTGCTTAAAGAAATGGTTAATACTAACGAATAAAATTGTGAAAATGTTCTTGCTGAAATACTATTTTTCAATGTGTTATCATTGTTGGTTATTCTTTATACTCTTGATTGATTTTCAATATAATTACATTTTGTTTTAAAAAAAATTTGTTGGCATACGGTTTCGAATTACTACATAGAATAACCAATTCAGTCTTTAAACCGGAGCCAGCCCATAGAGTTTTAAATAAATAAATATTATGCATCATTATATAAATCGTGTAATATAGAATAATATAGAAATATTTTCGCATTTGTTGTCAAGCTGTTTGTTCAACAAATTTACATTTTCACTATTGTTCATGCAATTGAAGAGCCCCAGCGTTTCGTTTTCTGGACTCTTCAGACTACATGACATCAGACTGTTATTTTGAGCTAGTTTAGGTTGCTCCCACTGTGCACAGTGTCACCAAGTGGCACAAAAACTTGTCAACTGTCAGCTGTCAGTTGCATTGAAAGATTTATTTTTTTTTTCGTTTTTTTCTAGTTGTTTGTGTGTGAATGTGTATGTATTTGTATGAGGGTGGGTAGGAGTCCAGTCAGTATAGGGTTAATATGTAACAACGCAAACCCTTTCCAAATGCATTTCTTCACGCTTGACAGTCGTGACAACAACAACACACAACTATGATGACAACTTGTGAAAGTCAAGTATTTTATTGTAGCTGCTTTTTTTTGCTGTAGTTGTTAATGTTGTTGCTGCGGTTGTTGTTGTTGTTGTTTGGGGTGTTGACAGCTACTATTAAGCATATGAAAGTCTTGCTGTTCATTTATTGATTTGCAAATGATGCATGAAGCTTGAAATATTAGCCAAGTTATAACTACATATCATCAGATTGAAATGCTTCAAATATCTTTTTGCCCTGGCAGACGGGTTGTTGGTGTATGTGGTTGTTATTGTTATTGTTGCTGTGTGCAGGGTTGCTGCAACAGCATTCCACAAATGCAATCAAATACAACTTTCCAATGATGGATTTTTTTTTGGTTATAATTTTGCTAATTTTTTTTTTTTGCCATTACCTTATTAGCTGAAACCTGTTGCACTTTTTTGTGCGCACAGACGATGACGAGGAGACGACGATGGTGATGATGATGATGATATCAAATAAATGGTTATGGACTAAACGCCATGCTTTGGGTAACTGCGGGGAGGTTTGCTTTTGCTGTTGGCATGCAAAGTGAAAATGACTTGCAATAGAAAAGCAACCAGAAAAATCAACAACAACAAACACACACACATACTTACGCGAGAAACTGAATGTACTTACATATTTCAATAGACTTTTTTTATCCAAACCGATCAATTTAAAAAAGAATTAAGACAAGTGCAATCATTTTTACGAATAAGAAAGCAAGTAAGAAATAGTTTTTAAATCCCATCTTATCTGTAGTATTTATAGATATAAACTAGATCGTCTTAGACAAGCCTCTTCAATACAAACAATACAGTCAAGAAGCTGTCTCGAGTATATCACTATTACTACTATCGAAAAGCTGTTATTTCAATAATCATACGCAAGCCTTTTTTTTGCCATATGCATATTAGTTTTAGAACAAAATTTTTTTTAAATATGTATATTATTAATTCATTACATTATTGATACTTGTATTGTTTAGTTAATTTCGTTCACAAATTGCCAAATTAATTTTTTGCCTTTTAGAAATACAACCAATAAAACGCACGTGCTTTTTTTTAACTGCAAGGTAAGGGGGGAAATTAATTAGGGCAAAAATACACTCTTCGTAGTCCTTAACACACAATAACACCGATAACGTTATAACAAATTCTATTGTAATCTTTACAGTGGGTGTATCTATTTGCATATACATTTATGTATACTACAAGTATATAGAAGATAAGGATATAACAGACACAGACTTACCAAACAAATGTATGTAACTGTTGAGCGTTAAAAAACGACTGCCAACTGCTGTCCAGCTGAGAAAATTCTGCTCAAATTTATTTTAACGTCAGTTGAATCAATAACAAAAATAAAACAAACAGATTATAATCCACGCGCATGAGTGTTTCGTCTGTATTTAGATTTAGTTTAGTGTTGTTGGGGCGCTACAAAAAATGTATTAGAAATTGATGTACACACACATATGCATATATACACACATCTCCACACACCGTTACATACAAACACGGCCAAAACGTGTTTGTTAGTGTACGAGTGCGCTTAGAATTGTTGTTGCTGATGCTGTTGCTGTCGTATTTTTTTCTAAACAGGTATTAGATGCGAAACACGCTCATGTAACTAAAAAAGAGTTGATTCTTTATAAAATATAATTTGTTGGATTTCTGTAAATTTAAAACTGTGTATTCATGCACGTATGTATGTAGTATGTAAATTCACACCAATTTGTTTGCATTAATTTTCATACGCATGGAGTTGCACACCGCGCATAGCGAATTGAAATAAAACGGCACACCTTACACAAACACACTCGCGGCAGCAGCAGCGCGCTAGATTTTTATAATATTTTAATAATAATTGCAGGCACACATACACGCACCCATGTCCGCAGGTGCATTTAATTATTAATTAAATTGTACGTGTATGTATGCGCTACAATTATGTATGGCTATTTACTTTCACACGTACCGCACATACGGCAAAAAATAATTTGGAAAGACCGCAAGACTACCATCCGACAATACGTCCAACGCGCACGACGGCTAAACATACACAGGCGTCACTCAGCTGTCGGGCTATCGGCCGAATTCAGATATCGAGAAGAAATACTGTTTGTACCCACAATCGATATATTTGGAATTAGCTATCGTACCATAACGAATAGCCGGTGTGACCATACATTAAAATTCCAATTTAAAAATATCAAGGATTTTAGCAGTTACACAATTGGAAAAAATTTGTTTGGTTATTCAAGTTTATTTTAAGACATAATTATATATAATACATATAAAAGTACATTGCCTAACCGAATAACATTTACATATTGTCTACCCATTTAACATTTACATTCATAGATATAAACTAGTTTGGAAACTAAACAAATATAAATTGGTGGTACAACTAAAAATAATCGTTGCAATATCTACTTTTTGGTAACATTATTAATTCTTTTGGTTTAAATTTTAATATCAGTGACTGCCAATTTTCATTCCTTTACAGCACGCAGATCGGGATATATATTGCCAGCGGTAATGTAATGAGATTCATTCCTACGTAACTCCCGTTTATAATCATCAACAACGGCTTCACCGGTTTTTTTAACCATTTTCTTGGCAATGCCCTTTGGGTGTATGTAGTTTACATTTTGACTAATGACAAATGCATTTCCAACTGTATTAAATGTTCCACAAGCCAAGTTGCCAGCCGATTCGCCATATCTTTGGAAAAAATATACGTTAAGTAGACATTTTCAACAAATTCCAACAACTCACTTGTGCTCAATTATTTTAACAGAATTCTCGCTTAAGCTATTTCCCAATATTTTTGCAGATGTCTCCAAGCTATCGAAAACAGTAGAAAATCCTTCAACTGCGCCTGCTGCTATTGTCATGGCGCCCTCCATAGTGCTGTTAGCCTCATGGCTATCGTAGCCAAAGCCTTTTTGGAGTAGTTTAGAGCCCTGTGTTTGTATATGGGGCGCCAAATATCGACCCACCGCTACAGACGCAGTGCCCACTTTTCCAGCAATCCAGCCGGTCATGCCAGCAACAGCGTGAGTAGCTTTTTGTGCCACCTCCACCGTCGATTGAACTGAAGCTGGCACCTGAGTCTGAGCGTCGGGCGTTGCTGGAGTCATTTTTGATATCAAATATGGCGTGGTCCTCATCATCAGACCTCCTGTCTTTTCAGCGCCCTTGACCAGATTCCGCGCTATAAAATCTGCCGCACAGACAATGTGCTTCGACACCTGCTCAGAGCCACTGAGTGCCGTAGAACGTTGTGTGCGCGGAGATTTCAATTGCTCCACAGTACCCGCCAGCACAGCCTCAAGCAAGTCCAAAAAGAACTGCTGCAAATCTGCCATTTGCTCGGACTCATCTCCAGCTGTGACGGCTGTGCTGAACGGATGCTCTGGACGCTTCACCAACATAATGCCAAAAGCATTACCAGCTTGGGTCGACTCCACGTCCGGGAATATGAAGGCGCCGTATTCTGTGCGATAGCAATTGGTAATTGTTGGTATCAAGGGATATAGCCAGATCATGTTAGACGTTCGCTCCACAGACGACGACGGTGAAGGCAACGCTGCGTTTTCCTGTGGCATTTCACATTGTATGAAATATAAACCATTCAGGTATTTCCACTTTCCTCCAACGGTGCACATAACTAGCGACATAGATGTGTTGCCCTGAAAGGAGATTATCAAATTTATCAAAACTGATTATAAAATTGCTTAAAAATCGAAAAGCAAAGAAGCAGCTTTTAAAGTAATAAGTGAATATTACGCATAATTTGGAATGTTTCACAGCTACGTTTCAATAATATCCTATTTGAGAAAAAAAATAATTACATTGTCGGTTGCAATTAAGATTACGGTTTTAGCTCATCAGTGATTTTGAGCTTTTACGTCTTTTTAAGAGGACTTACCGATACTGTGATCACCACGCCGCTAGCTTCAATGCGATATAACTTCACCTGCGCCTGAAACAAATCATCAAATTGTACTGCCGCATCTTTAGTGGCCAGCAACTCTCGCAAGCCAGCAGCTAGCTCTCTATATGTCTTTGGAGTGCCACTTCCATTGGCAATGTCATAAAAGGTAGCCGGATTCTCCACCAGTAATGGGCGACTTTTTTTTGCTGCCATCTGGCCTCCATCGACACCATCTAAAAGAACACCTTCTGTCGCCTCCAAGGCATTATTGTCGACTGGCGCATTAGATGCCCGCAATACTTTCAAGCGATATGTAACCTCGATCTTAGCACTTTTTAATTTTTGTATAATGGCGCAAGCATCGTTCCATTCCGTCTGTACAGCATCGATTTCGTCAGGCAAACCAACGGGTATGGTAAAAATGTCTTCAATCATTCGCACAGCCTGCTCATAGGCCGCAATGGCATCGGCAACAGCCTCACGCTCCTCGTCACTGATGGCCTGCTCTACCTGTGCCATGGCCTCCTTATAGGCATGCCGTATATTGGCGTATGCGTCCAGAAATTCCGTTTCCGTTGACATGACGTTGAGTAGCTGTAAAATCATAGCGACATTTTAATTACTTTCACAAAAATATTCCCTCCAACCGACTTCCTTATACAGGTCAAGCGCCATGATGTTCACAATTCGAATGCCCAATTTACACTAAACGTCTAGGAAGCGTTAATGCGTCATCGTCTGCTCAACAGGCAGCTGCCGCTTGTCTGTGTCCATAGTATAATTGAATTCGTGCCAATTAGTGACGTCTTTTGCCTTATAAATTGCATTTCGCACAAATTGCGTTTTAGGTGGTGCTGCACTCTCACCCACTTGATGCACAAACATTTTCACACAACGTCCTTTTTTATATATGTACATATGTACATACATACATATATATGTGCGTGGGCATGTACACGTACTTATGTACGTACATTTGTACATATTTACGCACCTACAAAGGGATTTTCAGTATATACACAATTTCACTCACCTTTTCGGTATGTTTTAGTTATGGATTCGTGATTTTCTATGTCGTTCTTAACGAGCGTTATTTGTTATCAGTCTGCACGCTTTGAGATTCTTGCGTTGCATAGGATGCTGAGTAATCGTGTTATTTTGTTATTGTACTTTGACCGGCGAATCAATCACAGAGCTAAAAATATTTTTTTAAGAACACGTATACAATTGTTCATTCATGTTCATACTTTAAATATTTTATTTCACAATCTCATTGCTTATGCCGCTCACCTTCTTTGTCTTTCGTCTACATTGATTCCTGCATTTAATTGAATCTGCTGCGCGGTCATTATTATTGAATGCGTGATAACTTCCTTACAATTAATCAAACATTTTTAAATAATATAATTTAAATGCTCATTAATATTTCAACCATTAAAAGTACTGAGATTATGCTTCGGAATGTTGTTTTCGTTTATTTTCTTTCTCAACTTATTCTGACGGTCAGCTGATGCCAATCGATAACTCACAGCTGTTTTGGGCACTTAGAAACTTTCAGACCTTAAGCCGCTTTTGGGGAAGTTCGTAATGGCTTTCAAGACGGCTTCAACTACTCAATATTTTATTAAAAGACCAGAAAATACTTTATTTTGTTTCTGTTTATTTCTTTTTGTGTAATTTTAAAATACAATTGCATAAATTTTTTACAATGCGGTTCGTTTGACAGTCACATTCGGAGAAGGCCGTGGTTATTGGCCAAATATGTTTGTAATATAACATATGAAGATTGTAATAACGAAAATAATTTACTGGAATCCTAAATTTTGATGAAAGTTTCTTCAACATGTCAACGTACAAAAACTTAGCATTTTTCTCAAAGTTTCTTTTTTAGCTTCTGCCAGTTTTCTAAATAGGGGAGGATGAGCTTTACTTGAAATCACATATATAGAGTTACACTTTTGAATTCTATTATCTCATATACAAAGTTTATATATGTACTTTTTAAATATACATTACATATATATTATTTTTTAAACATAATTTTCATTAGCATATGCAGACATTTAGACTTGCAAACGTCGATAATATATGACAATAACATGCGTTTCTCCTTTTTTAATAAAAATCCTACCGTTTATTAATGCGCTGTGTGATGAGCGTTCTGGTTCATAGAGTGGTTCGATCTTAATACGGTAGGACTTAAGCCGCCAACTCCTGATAAGCAACCTGTAATGCCTGCTTTTCCTCAGGGCTCAGGGTGCTGGTGCACTGCTGCATCATTTCTGGATTCGATTCAATTTGCTTAACAATGGTCAGCAAACGAGTGCCGACCTCACTCTTTGCCTCCAGCACATTTTTTAGGAATGCCTCGGCTATGATCGAAACAATACGAGGCAGATTTAAATGATTGGCGCCGAGAATCACTGGATTATTGGACTGAATTAGATCGCAGAAATAACCATATATGTGTACGGCTTCCTCGGGATCTTCAGAGGTGGGTAGCCAGCTGAAGAAAAGCTGTATCAGTTCATCCATGTTAGTCAGAGCCGAACTGTTGTATTTCAGAATCTTTGCGAAGGCCGATATCGCATTTTCGGTGGCATTGATGTTCTCCATTTCGCGACTATTCGGATCGTTGATGACCTGCACCAGCAGTGGAATGATCTGAGCACACGTTACGGCAAAGTGTTCGCCAGCGAATTGACCCAAGACACCACAGCCATAGGCGGCTGCCTGGCGCACATCGGGAGATTTGTCGGTCACGTATTGTAAAAGCGCAGGCGCAAAAACATGCTGATATGGCGCACAGGCTGGGCCACAGAATTCTGAAACGAAAATGGCATAAAAGGTTAGTTAACATATTGACGACATATAATTTGTAACAGTTTCTAGCTTTTAAAAGTTACGGCAATCCTACTGCACTTACCAATCAAATCATCGAATACGCACACGCCCCACTGGCGGTCAGCAAATGGACGGTTCGGATCTAGAAGCTTTATGAAGAGTGGTGCTACCTGGTCAAACGCAGGCAAAAACTGTTCCTTATTGGTAAGGAAGAGCGCGTGAATAATGTCCACCACTTTGGACAATATGTAAATGTCTGTGTCGTCCTGTTCGGCCAATTCTTCCTCTACCCCATCATCATAATCTTCTTCGGCACGCGCTTGAAGGCGCTTATCGGCACGCTCGAAATGCTCCTGAACATATTTAGTGATGATATCTAAAACTTGCTTCATGGCATCCTCGTTCAAACAGTTCGGTCCCAAGGTCTCAATGCATTTAGCCAATGAGTTTAACAGCTCAGATTGTACTTCAGGCTCCGGCTCAGTATTAATAACCTTGAGGAGCTCTGGGCAAATGTACAGCCACATGCCCTCCAAATACTGCGGGCCCTTTATCTTGGCGCAGTCAAGCAAATAAGGCAATGATTCGGCAGCAGCCGAACGCACACCATCGTGGAAGTAGAATTTAAGCATAGGTACCATGAGACGTACCACCTCCTCAGCGTAATCGGCGAAGCCATCCTTCAGTTCGCGAGCATAACAAACAAGCATCTCACAAGCCGATGCCTTGTCCTCCATACCAGCCGTTCGAATTGCGAAGTTCTGTTGCTCGCCCAAATTGATGAACGACCAGTCCACATCGCCCTCAATGTCTTCCACCTCTTCATTATCCAAAAGCGCCACTTCTGGCTTCATGGCTGCAGTGCGCATCACGGGACCCATTACCAGGGGTAAATATTGCTCGAACTGTTTCCCCAATATTTTGCACATGCGTGCCCAAGCAGTTATTAAGTAATTCGTTTGTGGATCGTCATCTGGCAAATCACCCTCGGTGTGCGTTTTCAATAACATATCCATAACCTCCCCGGCATCCGTAATAAACTTTTCACGGCCCACAGCCAAACCAATAAGACTTACGCATTCGATAGTCTTTCCGCGCAACATACGAAACTCCTCGGAATTGGCATTTTGGATAATAAACTTGAGGCATGGCATTAAACGGTCATAGTATGCGACAAACTCTTGTTCGCATGTATCGGCCACTGAGGCAATGGTTGTAACCACCTGCTCCAACACCAACTTGTTGCCCTTTTCGACCAGTTCTTTGAACTTTGAGTTTAAAATTGTTTCCAGTTTGGTCATAATGGCATCCAGGTAGCGAGTCAAAATGTTCTTGGGGCAATCCTCGGAGAAATTAACCAAAGCTGCACCAGCGTGAGCCTGCACGCGTGGATTCTCGACATCATCCAGCAGTGACAACAAGCCGGGCACCACCTATGTTTTAAACCAAGGTTAATTTTAGTTTTTTAATCGTAAACAGCGTCTTCTTATGTAAATTAATTATTCAAATAAAATAAGAATTTATCCAGTTGGAGAATTATATTAATTTTTCCCATTAAAAATAAGATAATCAATATCCATTCCAGCTTCTTAGTTTTTATGACTCACCTGCTCGTGGAATTTCTTCTCAAATGTTGGCGCAAAATCTGTGGACATTTGTCCAATAGCATTACAGGCGGCATAACGTACACGCGGATTAGGATCTCTCAAATATGCCAAAACACCGGACATAACCTGATCCAGAATTGCCTCCATTTGCTTGTGGCAGCCTTCGCCAATGGCTGAAATGGCCATGAGGGCGGCGAAACGATGCTTCCAATCACTATGACTTAGCATAGTAGGCAGAGCATTCATCACGTGCGGCAGGACAATCTTTCCGCCAAGTCCACAAGCAAGACGATCCAAAGACGACTCCGCTATGACATTATTATCGCTGTGGTCGTCGTCATTTACCACATCGGCAGTGGCCCAATCGTCATCCTCTTCCAAATCGGTCATCATTTGCAACACAAGGGGAATGAGCGCCACAATATACTTATCGGCACGTTTGCGCACCATTGCAGGCGCGTTCTCTGCGAGCGATACCATCACCTCTAACACCAGATGACGCCAGCTGTCCTCGATGTCTGGTGTGCTGAACACTTTCATGCAAATCTCGAATATGAACTCCAGTTGTGGACGCAAGAACTTCGGACAATTCTCGGTCATGTCGATCAATAGTTTAAGCAAACTCTGATCGTCTTGTGCCTCAATTGTTTCTCCGGTAATCACCAACATGCGTTGCAACAAATCCGAAAAGTGCTTATAAATGGCGACCTCCTTCTCCTTGTCGTGATAGAGAATGAATGCACCAACGGCTCGCACAGCTTGGACTCGCACTTCGGCATCAGCTCCTGGTTCCATGCTCTTGGCCAACATTTCCTTGATCAAATCAATGTATTGCGCTTCCTGATTTCCAAAAATAGAGGGAACACTAGTAAAGATGCGCAAAGCCGACTCCTGAAGTTGTGGCGTTGGTGAATTGGCGCATTGGAACAAAAACTGCAATATGTCCGGCCATTGATTGTTACCATCCTCGTCAATTAGATTACGCGCTACCTCGGCAACGACTTCGCAAATCTTTCGACGTAGCTGCGGTGTCACATCTTGCTGCACAGCAAGTAAAATTTGTTGCAGCAATTGGTTCTGCGAGTCAGCCGGAATCTGAAATTATTTCAGAGACATAAAATATAAATCTAGTAATAATAGTATGATAGTTTTAAAAAATAAATCAATAAATTACGATCTCTTCTATTTATTCTGTTTTGTGGGGTACAACTAGTTTTCTCTTTATACAAGTAACAACTATTTAAGTAAATATAAATAAATTTAAACGAAAGTATACTAGGCCTAAAATATATAGTAGAAAAGGTAAATTAAATTTAATGACAAATTTTATGTTCACTGGACAGATTACTCATTAATAATTTATACATATATTCAAGAATATTCATATTCATTAGTACTCACTTCTTTGTAAAATTCCAGAAAGTCGGATGTGAAAAGGCGACGCAAGAGCACAGCGGCCATTTGGCGGGCCTCCTCCGATTGTTGTCCATTGTGAATATTGCCCAACAAGTGTGTTACCTTCACCTCGCGCGACAAATTGTTGTAGGCATCCTGCAATGATTTTTAGGGTTGTAAGTGCATAGCATAAACAAAGTAAACAAGTTAATAACTTTTTCGCAGCATTCTTTTTTATAATTGTTGTTGTTCGTGTGGGTGCTCTGGATGGCACCAAGGTCAGCTATCATCACATGCGTTTTTTCTGTCAGAGCATGTGTGAGAGCATGGGCAAGACGTTCTACGTTAGTACATATATAGAGAATATATATACTTGGGTGGGGTGGTAACTAGCTTATCATGTCTGATGGCGGAATACGATCAATATATGTACATACACTATACCGCACAGCAAATTTAGAGATTGCATTCCAGCCAATGCGTCATAGCACCGCTATTTCTTTCCTTTGCGTGCTCAGCTGCTTCTCAATGGCTGTTCGCACCTGCTTTTTGTTTCCGTTTTGAATACTGTCATGCGAAATATTTCAACGGACAGGTCGAGAAATTCGCATTTAAAAACAAAAACTTTGCGTTCCTCCCAAAAGCATACGTACAAATGTATGTATGTGTGTATTTACATTCGTACATATGTAAATACATATGTATGTATGTATGCACGTACATATGACAATAGTGTGTTTTCATATTAATTGCCTAGCGTGCCTCAATATCAAGGCGTTGGCGGAAAATAAGAACATTTTATAAGCCATACGCGGGTCGCCAGCGACGACACAAAATTATACAATTCGGCTTTGTACAAAAAAAATGAACGTCTCACAGATGCTCTCGCACACAGACATGCATGACGTGCGAATAGTATAGGAAACGAAAGCGAAAACACGTTTTGCGCTACAAAACAGAATGGTATGATTCAAGCATAATTTCTCTTGATATTTTACCAAATATATATGTAACATACATATAATTTGCCAAGGCAAAAATATACTATATATTATATTCATTTGCATATTGCGCAGTTTGATATTTTTGCAATAAAGAAATTGCATTTTCATCATATTCGTGACACACACACAAACACATAAAGCTACTCACCTCAGCCTGCTGGCGCACTTCATTGTCCGACGACAACAGGGAATTTAATAGCTGTTGGAATTGTGCTTGATCTGCAGCCATTTTATTACGCGCTTTCTTCAAATGCTCAAAAAACGACACGCTTTTATGTGTGCACAATTTTCACGTGCAATTTCGCACCAAAAATAATGCAACTAACAGCAAGATACTATTTTCACAATGTTCACGCGACGAAGGCCGCTTCAAAAAGAGCAGAACAATAGCTAACGCGATGTGATGCCGATGTCGGGTTGCCACAATTTTTAGTACTAATTTAAATTAATTTACTAAATTTAAATCTTTTTATATCCCCATTTGCTTTATCTAGCTTGTTATTGACTCTATTCTATATTCGATTGAATGTCCTGAATGAGTATTTAAAATATTGAAGTTGTTAGCAGAGCACACTTAAGTTTTTTTGTTAAGGGCAATACTGGCTCATAGTTGCTTCGAAGCGTCCGCGCGAAAATTTCCAGGGCCACTAATGTGGTAGAGTTACCACTGCGCGGGCTAAAATTAAATTTAACAGTGAATGGCAAATTTTAACAGAATTTAAGCAAAGCAATATATTGGGTGTGTGGGCACTGGGGATGACTCCCTCTTGGTATGTATTTTTATATACTGATTAAATTTAATATTTATACATATTAAATTACAAAATAGCTTCAAAATACCTACTTTTCCATTTTCATAAAATTTTTTACGTTCCAGCAGAAACGCAGCGTGAAATGGTACAAAACTTCCACAAGACTGAGCAAAGAGAATCCGATAAATAAGCCGAAAATGCCCCCGCAATTAGCCAAAAAGTCCGTTACGCCATATAGTTCTGAACGCTTCGAAGTTATAAACTGGCTCTCCTTGAAGTAAATGGATAAACGTGACATTTGTGAGCCGGGATATTCACGTAGAAATTCCGTATCTCCATCAGCGATCAACATTTCTTCCAAATCGAAATTGGCCTGCGAGATTTCCGTATTGTATACCAGCGAAGTGCAGGCGGGCATGCAATTGCAAGCCATTTCCTCTCCACGCTGAACTCCATCAGCAGCGTTAAGATCTCGCAGACGATGAAATTCACGCACTAATAGTTTGCGCTCAGCGCGATCATAGCAATAAATTTTATCTTCTCCGCAAACTGGCATATCCAGAGTACGAGGCATGGAAAACTTAACGCAGCCGCATTTCGCGAGTGTAAAATTAGCCAAACATTCCAACTGGCAATTGGACTGTGTGTAGACCTTGAAAAAACGCAATGTACGCTCATGACTTAGAAAGCATTGACGTCTTAATGGATGGTATTCGGCAATGCCTTCTGATGTGGTGATCATATTCGGCTTCACTGCAATTAGCACCTCTTTAGCCATGGGTATGCGCACAAATTGCTTCGATACCTGAGGCACATCATCTGGAGCATGCAGAAGTACTTTGAAACCTTGCACTGGTCCGCGACAGGCGTAGTCCACCTCCTTTTTAAATGTTTGTAGAGCCATAAAAATGCCAGAGCGTGCACCAGCACTGAGTACTCGGGCAGGATACGTTTCCACATCACTGTTGGGTGCGTAGCCTGTCTCCAATGACCATGGTGGATACAACGCGCTTGTATTTTTACCATCTAGGTCGTCGACTTTGTTTTTGGCATCTCTCTGAAACTGATAGGTATCTTCACGGTAAATATCCGTGGAATGCAAACCATTAAATGTATAGCAAATCCCCTCCTCCGTTAGAGTTTTTTTGAAGAACTTATCACACTCATTAAAACGACTCAACCAGCGGCAGTAGAAGAAATATCGTTCAAATGGCGGCAACATGCGATCCAGCACATCGTAATATGATATATCCTCGCCTGGCAAAAGCGGCATATTCGGATCGATTATTTGCGTATTGCAGACGTGGAGAAGCGTACGAAACTCTTCAATTTCCATATCGCTGATATTATCCGGCTTGAAGACTCGCCCTTCCTTACTATCCTCCTTCATCTGGCTGTACAGGTCAGCAAAGGTAGGACCTGCATCATACAAATTAGTAGCGAAACAAAAATTGTAAGTTTTTATATGCGCACTAACCATCCATTTTGAGGATCCGTTTTGTTTCCGAACATATTGTAATTGCCGGAAAAGGGATATTCCACACGGGCGTAGACTTTTCTGCGAAGCTGACGATTACCGGTGTTTCATTCCACTTTGTATAGGCGCTGTTTATTAGTATGAAACAGTAGTAAACCGACGCGATCAAAGCAATGGCCCAAAAGATACGCTCTTTCAGGGGTCGATGTTCTGCGATGTATCGTATGCCATGTATGGATGTATGTTCACTATATGTGTGATATGCCTGGAGAAATCCTTTGCGTAAGGCTCGCATTCGATTTCTGCACGGCCTTGAGGACGGCAGCTCAAGAGCGCGCGTTTCACTATCTACATCCATATCAATTTCGTAGCTTTTTGTACGCGTTAACATTTTTTCTGATCCTATTAAAATATATGTATGTATGTATGCACAAATAACTGAGCAATGGACGTTCACCGTTATAATAATCGCTGGTACTACGACGCTGCCGGACTGCAAATGAACTCCACATAAGCAAACATTTTTCAGCACTTAACAGAATACGTAACACCTAACATTCAGTTATCTCTTGAAGTATTAAGAAATTAAAAAACATAATTTAAATATTTGTGAAAATCGCTTTAAACATTAAAAAAAAAAAAAAAAAAAAAAAAAAAAATGGATTATTTTTCCATAAACCATAAAATTTTGATTAAATAATGCGCGATGCATTTGAAAAAAAATTTGTTTGCACATGATCAATGAAAAAACTTCAACAAATGCAATCAGTTCCTTTTTTTGTACGGGGTGCAACGGTCCCCCTGCGTACACCCTTGCTTCTATGTATTCACGTTACATCTTTATTAATCACTTATGTTTATTAATGCTCTCCGCATACTCCTTTATGGCGATGACGTGAAGCTTCTTTTTTCGTATAAGCCTCCTCTTTGTCATATTCGTCTGGAGTATAAACTGAACAGTATACAGCGGTAGTGCTTAGTTAACAATTTGCACATTAATGGGTCCAAATGTAAGTATTTTACTTTTCATAACAATTACCATTGTAACGTGTATTTAAAGTCGAAGATCTTAGAGTAAGTTTTGATAGTAAGATGCTCATGTGTTTAAATTGCACTAAGATCGGTTTGCGTATGTCCAACCACAATTTGTATACTCTGTACATGAAATGTACAAGAGTATATTACGTTTGCTGGAGGTGAAAAATGTAACAGACAGAAGGAGGCGTGGCAGACCCCACAAAGTATATATATTCTTGATCAGCATGACAAGACGAGTCGATCTATGTCTGTGCGTCCGCCCGTATGAACACCTGGATCTCAGAGACTATAAGAGATAGAAACACCAACTTTTGCACAAAGATGCCTTATGTGTGTACGCTATACCAATTTGTTTAATTTTTTTGATTCCCCTCCCCCACTTCCCCCCTATGTTGGGTTTTCCGTAGCGCCGTTCGTATAATCGCATATATATCGGTGACCTAGAGATATCAAATTTGAAGTCCAAGATGTCTTTTCTGAATACGCAGAATTTCTCTATCTCTCCCCTCTCCCCCGCAAATCGTGATTTTCTCAAACTTCCACAGTTCTTGGAATTTCTAACTCCAATTTTGCAAATACCCCCCGTTCGTGATTATGTGTCCGTATGCCATTTTCATTATGATAGACATTTCATTATGATAAACCGATTTAACAGTCAGTTATAGCCATAAGTATGCTCACACAGACACGCATACACTCACATAGACGCAAATGCTATGTAAATGTGCAATTATACACCCTTTACGTGTGCTTGAATACCGAGAGAGGTAAAATCGATAGAATTTTTTTTTTTTTCTTATTCTAAATATTTGTACATAGTATTTCAAAGTCGGGACTCCACATGATCTCTTCATCTTCATTTATCACACTACTCTACCAGACTTCGGCTTATTAATCTCGTGTCATCAGATAACCATAGGACATTTCTTTGTGTTGTGTTCATCTACAAATTGATTGCATGAAGTGTTCATTTTTCGATATCTTTAGATCGTATTAATTAACAAACAATTGCTCAACTGATTCCGCTTTTTTGGGGTGCAATTAAATTTTCTCAAACGAATTCTCCCTTTCCTTACAAAAATCATCTATTTGAATAGAAGAGAATCACAAATCACGATTGAGCATAGCTTGTTACACTGGCTACTAAGCCTTCGCCCCCCGGTCAATGATTCCCCACTTTTAGCAAATGCTAAATGCATTTTCCCCGCCGAGTCAGAGACCATCACATAGCGGGATGCCACAGAAAACTCCTAAAAAAAATTCTGTGGCACCGAGATTTGGGAGAAAGAGATTTCTGTGGCACCCCTGTTAATTTTTTTTATTAAAACGAAAAACTTTAATTTTTATTTTCTTTCATGTTATTTTGAACTTTGTCATAAATATATATGTATATATGTATACATTGTTTGTCGATGAATAATAATAATTCTGTTCGTTAATTTTCCCATACAAATATACAATACATTGAAATATATATATATATATATATATATATATATATTTTATATACATACATATATGTATGTATATATTTTTTATAACTACTTTAATACGTAGAATTTTGATCTAAAATTCTTCAATTGCAAACAGTATTATTGTACAGTATTATTTAATTTAAGTATTAACATACATATGTTAAACTTAAAAATTTAAAACATTTAATATTAAATTACATTTAAAACTTGACGGGGTCTATGTGGACATCTCGCTGTACTATAAAATTCGTAATATTTGTTTGGTGCAAACACTGATTAAATAAACCATAAATGACAGGAAGTAGAGCCCGCCGTTATTGCGAGAGTTGCCACTATGGTCTTACTTACATTTTACAACACTTTCTAGACATAGAGGGACGCTACTTCTCATACCAAAATAAGTAAACAAAAAAAAATACGGTGCACAGAATGTCACTCAGATTGTGTGCTTACAAGGATTGCGAAAACCTTTACATTGATGGTCGCCCCAATGGTAACTATACCCTGTTTATTTTCCCCAAAGATGCTGAGCGTGCTAAAACGTGGAAAGAACTTGGGTGTGTTAACGAAAAAATTCCGCCAAGAGATTTATTTATGTGCTCACAACATTTTGATCCGAAATATGTGTCCGTAAGTAACAAACGCCGAGTTCTAGTACCTACGGCTGTGCCAATTCCGTACAAAAACGTCGAAGCCTTGAACAATACTGAAACAACTGATACTGACACATTGTCACCGGATTATGTTATTAACATTGAGACACATAGTGATGAAGAGCATATGCAGCTCAAAGTGGAGTCAACTACAGCGAACATAAGTGAAGAGACCGAGGAAGGAGACACAGGTTGGACGCTGCATTCGGTTAAACACACAATAGTAGCAACGGAAGCCCCAACTCGAAAAACTAACAACTTCCCAAAATCTTCTCAAACCGCATCAACACAATCCAAACGCCAGCGTCTTCTGGAAGAGGAACTGGAGGAATCTGAAGCAGATATTCCTTCCGATGAGCAGCTTATTGATAAGTCCTTGGTATCAACGTTTATTTTTCAAGGCGAGGAATATGTTCAAATGCCCAAGGAAGTATATTTGAGTGAGAAACGTGACTTATTGCAAACATTGCACCAATATGAACAAGTGCTTAAAAACATAAAAACTCAAGTCAGTCAATTTGGCTTATAAAACGTTAAGGCAAATAAATGTTAAAAAAGATATGTATAATAGTTTTTGTTGACGCATATTGTGTATATATGTAATTATAAAAATGATTTATTTTATTAATTTCATTTCAAACAAATTCAGGTTAATTAAATATTTTAATTCTTATTATTAATATTACATTTTACTTAATCACTTAATTCGTAAATTTTCTCATTTTGCTGTGGCACCTCCTCAATATCGCTGTTCACATCGGGTGGTTCTTCCATATCGCTTAGCTCATCACCATACGCCTCCTCCTCGCATCCTCCTCCTTTTTGCAAAGTGCGTTTCCTTTGCAACAGTGCTGCCCAAGTAAATGTCGTCTCACACAATGGACATACGCCTGTAACTGGTATATAATGACCCTTTTCATCGCCCAACATGTAGTTGGCCAAGCATATAATGTGGCAAGTTAAGCAACAAGTGGCATTAAGGCAACCAATCCGCGATCGTTCTGGTTGCACAATCCTTTGCATACAAAGATGACACTCGGGTGTCCACAATTGGGTAGCCGGTTGCTCCAAACTCTTGAGTTTTCGTTGTGATGCTGTAATAGCCACTTTGCCACTAACAACCTGCATTTGTTTGGGCAGTGGCTCCAAAAAATCACGCTCATAGCCTACCTCAAGCCACCGAATAGTCAAAGGTAGTCGATGCCAAGGACCAATGCATAACATGCAACTAACTATGCGAAAATTGTAATCAAAGTGCGATTCCCTCGGGCGCTTCCGTTTTAATTCGTTAAATGTCTTAAGACGTGTTGATAATGTGGGCTGTTGCCAGGCCCATTCAAATTGCAAGGCCGCGATGTTATTTGGAAAGCCATGCACAATCATCACCATTTCCCAAGGTCCTTTGTTGCTTGTTTTTTTAGCGCCACCAAAATCTCGACCGCGATTATGTTGTTTAATACGGCGATTAGGATTGACTGTAAAGCCGACATAGCATTTGCCACGATAACGCAAATCTGGACTCTGGCTGCACAGCAAGTAAACGCCATAGAATTGCCCCTTGTGAGCCACTGCATCTTTGGGCGGAGATAAAGAAGACGAGGCTTCTGTGAAAGTAAAGATATTAAATTTACTTGAGGGTGATGATGATGCTTGAACAGCAAAGGTTGGGACGCGCTAGCGTAGTACAATTACGGATTTTATTGCCCGTTTTTGTAGTTTTTTAAATATTTGCCTAATTTTAATCTAGTTTCATGCTGCCTGGTGCTGCCAGGCCATTGATTTGTTGCTGTTGAGCAGAAGCTGTTTGTGCTTGATCTCTCTGCGTTGTCTGCTGCTGTTGACCTCCGCTCACTTGCGTCTGCGTTACATTTGCAGCTCCATTTTGCAGAGCACTTGTAGGCAGTGCTGATGTTTGCTGCTGCTGTTGTTGCTGTTGAGGATTTGCTGCTTCTGTGCCCGTGGCGGTAGCTGCTTCTTGGGAAGGCACAGGAATGCCTCCATTGCTCTGCTGCAGCGCTGCTGCAGCGGCCGCATTTTCACCAACCGAGTTCATCATTTTAATTCTTTTACGGGTGTAATGTTGCCATTGTAAAATTGCTTGCTCGTCAATAAATTTACAACACTGCGAGTTCACAATTTCACGCCGAAAGTGTTCATATTGCAGCAAATCGAGAAAATACAAGCACATAGGGTACATTAAATATTTCGCATATTCCGGCTCTTTCCAATACTGCAAATACTTAAGATAATTGATAAAAGATGGATCCTTGAAGTAGCCACGCTGAGCAAGAACTGAAATGGACGTCCTGTTAATGTTATGGAATTTTTAATTTATTAATTTTGAGCAATAACATACAGTTTAAATAATTGGGATTCGATAGGCACTGCACAAATTCCAGCTCAATTAGCCAACGTCGCTTTTGTTGTTCCTCTGATTCAATGGCAGCTGTTAGAGTATAAAGCCAAATGGATTACAACTTATGTAAATAAGTAGAATGGTTTTTGTATTACACAAAAGCATGCGCGAGTGAATGAAATGATTTCTAAGCAACCGCTACGACAGTGTTTGTCTTAGTACAAAAATGAAAAGCACTGTTAAAACTAACGTAAAAGTGGTAGTAGTAGAGGTATATGCAAATGTGTTGTTTTTTACTTACTCTTACCCTTTCCGTACATCTTGGCCATTTTTCTAGCTGTTGCTGCACTGGAAAGGGTTTCGTTGGTGTCTTTGCGTTTTTTCAGTTTGTTCAACTTTGTTGGTGGTAATTGTGGCAAAGATAAGTATTTTTTCTTGTGGTTTTGATGCCGTCTATATGCTTATGTCTGTGTGTGCTGTTTGTGCTGGGTTGCTCTTATTTTTGTTGTTGTTTTTGTACGTACATATGTAGCTAGTGATTTTTTGGTGTGAGGTTTTAACAACAAAAAATATACTATATGTAGACAAAAAATTAAATTAATGCACGCGCGTTAAACGAGTATGGATGGAAAATTTTAAAAGCGTTTACATTTGTGTAAATCATAGTAAACAAAAAAAAAAGCGGCACAGAAAGAAAACCTCAACTACAGTGCGGCGGCGTCGCTTCCTTTGTGTTCGTGAAAAGCAAAAGGAATTCAATTGTTTTTAATCAGCTACAAACCGTATGTGTTCATTTGCACTGTATCAATTAATGTTGCGCCGTTATTTTAAAAGAAATGCATGCAAAAACAACTTCAGTTCCCCAGTCCGTCGCAAAATAGTTTTTCTTCTTCTTAGTTGCCGTTCAATGTGGCGTCCAATAATTGAAATGCAGGGCTGGCGAATTTTACTTTTTTTATACCAAATACATATATACTATTTACGTACCAAATTTTTTTTTGGCATTTTGATTATTAACAAATGTTTAGTGCAAAACTTTCAATTAAGTTTTAAAATATTAGACCTATAAAAACTGTCTATTGGCTGTCTAATGTCCCGTCCCACATGAGGGCTGTAAAGTTTCTAACACTTTTAAATACATACATATATTACCCTGCCGAAATACCCAAGTTACAGACAGAGTCTTAACATTTCAAGCACTTTACGCTTACATATCATACATATCAAAACACAAATTTTTTATTTTGCTCTGTAAGCTTTAACTCTAAGATGAATATAACGTACATATACTACATTTTAAAATTTGGTTGGTAGCAACAGTTAACTTAACTCCAAATCTATATTCTTAACATAACGGAAAAGAGAAAAGGATCATGTTTGTAGTGTTCGACTTGAGTTTTCAGAAAAATACACTTATTGTGATATGTGATAGCTGTTGGATGAGTGGCGTTGCCAAACATGCAGCCAAGTCCCAACGGTGCTGTGAAATATGGTATTGGCCAACACTAAAAAAGCTGAGGGCGGTCGCTGACGCACACACGCTACATTCTGTTAAGAACGTGTACTGTTTAGATTGTAGAAAAATGCGCGTCGAAGCTTTGGAAACGTTCTGGACCGATAAATCAACATACGACAATGCCGAACGGCTGTTCTACGAAGTCAATACGAGGAGGTCAATAAACGTATGTACATATTCCTGTTTCCAGTAGCTTGTATATGCCGCAAACAAGTAGTTAATATATGGCCACCCTGCTCGAATCAGCTGTTCGCATCTCTAGCAATTTTATTTAGTTGGCATCAAATATAAATTAACCGAGTTCCCCTAAATTTTTTTATGTGCCCATGTATTTTCTTACCTAATCGAAACAATTTTTGTGCAGCTTGCAGTAAAAGTCAAGCCCAAGAAACACAAGGCAATGGCTGAAGCTCAACAGAATCAACAACCCTCACCAATACCCAAGCAGTCGCAGCAACAAACCGATTTTTTATATGTAAGTGCAAAAAAAGTTTTGGCGCATATAATGCAACTACAAATTCTTCAATAGCTTAACCCACTAACTCTAGAAGCAAGTTTTTTTTTGGAAACATTGGATCAAGTTAGTTCCCATTCGAATATTCAACTGGATCCGCATTTGGCAAAATTGCTTGAAAAGATTGTAGTTGGCATTGAAATCTATCTGGAGAAAAAACCGACGTATGTAACGAACACAGAACACGTCCAATGCGTGCCACCGAAGGAGTTTTTAAAAGTCAAACGGCAATTTACATGCGCACCGTGTAACAGAATTTTAGGAAACACAATAAACAAGGCCGTGGTTCATCTGGCAGAGCAGCATCCTAATCCTAATGGCAACGCGCCTAAAGAAGAAAAGAAGTGTGTTAAAGTTGATGCGCGTTCAAAGCAGCTAGCTCTCATGGTCTTGCCTAAAAGTAAGCATAATTATATACATATATACCTGTATGTAAACCTAAATAATTTGTCTTTATATATGTTTTAGAAGCTAAAGCTCTAATTTTCAATGATATGGCGAATATTTTTCAACAAAACCATCCAGTTGCTGATAAGCTTAAAGTAATGCCCGAATATGAAACCATTGAGGGGGATCTTACTAAATTAATAGCACCCTCGTTTCCGAAACAAACTGTCCGTGTTTATAAATTTGGTTCGCGTCTAACAGGAATTGGAACACGCTCTTCGGATCTAGACATATTTGTGGACATTGGTTTGTAAAATATATGCATCTGTTGATATAGTAAATATTGTAATTTAAAAATTCCCGCAAATGCAATTTAGGCAATACCTTTCACAAATTTGAGCATCGAGCTTCAAAAGAAACGCTGGCGAAACTGGTGGTTGTTCGGAAGGCTTTAATCGGCAGCAAAGATTGGCGCATTATCAATGTAATTGAGAATGCACGAGTGCCCATTATAAAGACTTGTCACCTTACCTCAGGCATCGAATGTGATATAGGGTTCTCAAATAGCTTAGGATTTTGCAACACAAATTTGATCAAGTATTTATTTGAGACGCAGCCAGTGGGTATGTTTGAAAGTATAATCATTTATTATTACCACAATTTTAATATTTTTAAGCTCAATATATGTGCATCTATATTAAGAAGTGGCTGGAACGCACCAAGATGACTGATCAAATATCAACGTATAGTATGACACTTATGGTTATCTATTTTTTGCAACTAAAGCGTCTTCTGCCATCAATTGAGCTCTTGCAAGCTGATATTATATCAAAGCAATTGGTTGGACGTAAGTTTAAACATTTATGTATATATAATAATCTGCTAACCAGTTCAAGCTTTCAGCTTGGATTGCCAATTTCGTACAGAAATCACTCAAAGATCTGGGCATTGAGTATGTTGAAGTAAGCATACAAGTGGTGAAGGAATACATTAAGTCATTCTTTGAGTACTTCGCCGCCTTCAATTATGAGAAAAACATTGTATGTCCATATTTTGGATTAGGTTGCATGGATATTAAGCAAATGGAGAAAGCATTGCCTAAACGGTGTGTAATATAACATTAAACATGTGCAAGCATAATAATGCATTGAATTCTTTTAGGTACACAGAATATGCGGCCTCTAATCCGGACTGTGCGCTGCAATTGCGCAAACCAATGGTTGTGCAGGATCCCATACAACTGAATCATAATGTAACTAAGGCGGTCACTAAAACTCTCCTGCAACAATTTGCAGAGTATAGTCGACAAACAGCAGCACTGATTGGAGATCACACCAATTGGCGTCAGCGTTGATGATCAATTCTGGGAGGAACAACTCCATGCGAATTGTAGCTTGTGAACAATAAAAACTACGTGCATGAATGAAAAGTAACAGTGCTCAGTCTCCAGTTGTTTTTCCTTTCATATATCTAATATAACTAGAGCTTATTGACAAAAGCTTATTGGAAAAAAACAGAATTATAATTTTATTATGTATATTTAATATTGCATTTTAAAATACTGAGAATATGGTTCCAAGCACATTTTAATAAATAAGACTAAAATATCTTAATATTCTTTACAAAAAATGCAACTGAATGATAAAATTGGCTCTGACGTTATAGTTTGGAAATGTGCGTATTTTCTGTAATAAGAACAATCATAGTTGTTCAATTTAGTAAGCTTCGTTAAGTTACAAATAGAATCAATCAGCTGCTGTTTATAACCATTCCTATGTCTCTATTGCAAGATCATTTATCTAGAACTACATTAAAGTGATTTTGGTTTCAATTACATTAACACATTTCATAATGGCAGACAGGAATGTTTAGAAGCTTAATGCCTTTGGCCATATATTAAAAGTCTTGTTTAAAAAGTAGAATGTTACCCCCACTATGGCAACCAATATCAGGAGGTACAAACGATTGTACCAGTGTTGCTTGGATTCCTGCATCATATTATAAATGCGCATTGCCGCTGCCTCTGTTTCCTCAATAGATCCATTGTTGTCAACAACAAAGTGGGATTTTTCGCATTTTTTTTCTAGGGGCATTTGTGACTGCACGCGTGCTTGTGCCTCCGACTCAGAGATTTCATTGCGTGCAATCAGGCGAGCCAATTGCTTGTCAGGGTCACTGCAATGAGAAAATTTTCCAATCTGCGGAATAAATATATATATCTTATAAGCTCACCAGGACACGGTCACAATTTTATGTATAAAATCCATCAATATTCCAGTCTCGAAGAGCAATGGCAAATCAAGCACAATCCATGTGCGGCCCGACATAAACTGCTTGAAGACTCGCCAAAAGATAGTACGATGTATAGTAGGATGAGTAATTTGATTAAGTTTTCCCCTTAACTCCTTGTCCTCAAAGATCTTACGACCCAAAACAGTGCGATTTATTTCCTTGCTAGGTAACAGCACTTCGTCCCCAAAGACGTCACGAATCTTCTGCCAGCATGGTTGGCCTGGTTCCACAACTGCAAGTGTGGGCGTTATCTCAAATGTAGCGTTAATTGTTGTTAATTACCGAGCTTGACAATTTTACTCACTCTCCCTAGCTATTTTGTCTGCGTCGATTACTGGAACACCTTTTGCTTCGAATATCTTGCTGACAGTGGTCTTGCCGGTTGCTATACCACCCGTTATAGCTACAATGAACATTTTGCAATAGTTTTTGCAATAGAGTTGACGTAAATACACAAAAATTGAATCTTGACTTTGAAACTGACTTGGTAAAACAGAGCAATTACGTCTACAGCTATCGATACATCGTGAGTATCATTCGAAATGCACGTGCTTACGAACACTAAACACCTCACAAGGGTTGTTGAACACTTTTTTCATAATTCAGCCATCTTTGATTCTGTATTTTCTCGTGCGTCGTGCGTCGCTATTGCTTAAAAATTGTTACAGTATCTTGTGAAACTTCATTTTTGCTAGAGGCTAGTTGTGCGCGATTAGAGTAACTAATTAAACCGTGAAGCAACGTTAAATAAAACACATTTTCTTTGGCCACGTATTGTTGCACGAGCACACAGACAAAATGGTGGACAAAATAGAAATGAGTCTCGATGATATTATCAAGTCGAATCGCACGCAAAAAAGGCCTGCTCGTGGTGGTGCCAGTGGTGTGCGGCGTCCTGGCGGAGCCCAGCGCTTTGCCGGTACACGTCGCGGAGGCGGAGCTAGCGGTGGTTCACCAAGGAAACCACCACCAGCAAGCGGGGCAGGCGGCGTGCTCAAGGGTCGCCGTGGTGGCATTGTACAGAAGCCGAAGCTCGCACGGGTAATTGAAACGTTTTGTCGTATAGACAGAAAAACAGCAAATATCCATGCATTCTGAAGGACAAGCCATGCTGGAGAGCAACCAAATAACGATTCTTTGCACATTTCACAAAATCGCAATACCAAAATATTGTACGGAAATGCTGACCTGGGCACACACATACACACGCTTACACGAATATTCGCGCTTTTCAAGGAATCAAAATGGCCACTGTACCTATTTAACTTAACGGTACTGGTCGTTTGTGGTTGTGTGCATATACGTGAGGGAAATGCAGAAACAGACACGCGGGCATAACAGTAAATATAGAATTCGCGTAAGCGATAAGCTATTGTGTGAGTGCATAGAATGACAACAGGCAGCATCATCGATTTACACAATTCGACCATCTCAAAGTTAAGGATACTGTATTGTGGTTTACAGGGTGGCATCAGCAGTAAAGAGGGAGTCTACCTGAAAACACGTCGCATAACAACTCAAAAAATTCTTTGAAAAGTTTTACAGAAACAGTCAACAGTATTTCGCATTTTTTCCTCTAAAACCAATTTAAATCTAACGTCTAATCTAATATTTCTTTTTCTTGGTTAATTAATTAACCAGAAAAAATATGACAATTATGCATAACTCATATTTAGTTTCTGCGTTGAACGAATCGTGTATGCATTCTGAAATATGTATACATGTTCGTGTTCAAGGCTGTGTGCAGTTGACTTCCCGACTCCGAATCAGTGGTTCGATGGCGTCCTCATGAGGCTAGGATACAACAACTGCTACTCCCACAATATTTATGATCCTACTGCGTTCGAACAACCCACAAAACTTCTACATAAATACTACCCCCTCTAGGGCGATGTGAACAGCGCATGGAAACATGATATGTACGATGGCCCCAAGCGTGGCGCCAGTGCCATGGGCATTGGTCCAACACGTTTGATTGTCGGCAATTTGGATTATGGTGTATCAAATACGGACATTAAGGAGCTGTTCAATGATTTCGGACCGATGAAAAAAGCAGCAGTGCATTATGACCGTTCTGGAAGATCACTTGGTAAGTTAAAATACATCATAATTGACTGTCCAGGAGCCTTCAACTAATTGCAACTTTACTCTTTTATTTATTTTTTTTTTATAGGCACCGCTGATGTTATTTTCGAGCGACGCAGTGATGCGTTAAAGGCGATAAAACAATATCATGGCGTCCCATTAGATGGACGCCCCATGACCATACAGTTGGCGGTATCGGATGTAGCAGCCCTCACACGTCCAGTACCAGCTGTTGATGCAAAGCGTCGCATTGGTGGAGCCACACCACCCTTCAAACGTGGTGGTAAGTCGTATAATCTTATAAATCTAGAGCGTATGTTGTAATTTGTATATTTTTCCTTTTTTTTTTTGTTCAGGTGCACGAGCTGGCGGCGCACCGCGACGTGGGGGCTTTAGAGGTGGTGCCGGTGGCAAACCAGCTGGCGGACCACGCCGAGAACGCAAAGCGCCGCCAACTGCCGAAGAACTAGATGCCGAATTGGACTCTTACATCAATGACATGAAAATCTAGATCTATTTTTTTTTAGTCAGCAATTAATCATAGCTAACAACACTAACACATCCACCCCTCATACAGACACGCTCATATAAACTAGTCTTAAGATTTACCATATAAGCTGTGTTTATGGTACAATAGCAGGGTCAAGTAAACAAATTCAAAACCACATAACAAAAACTTGATAAGTGTACTGAAAATAATACCAACAGATAGTTGAAAACGATAAACGTCTTTAGCTCGTTTGTCATTAGCTGATTGCAACCGATAGGACGATTATATCTTTGTATTGCACAATTAAATCGACTATTTGAATAATACAATTTGTAATGTATTTATTATATAAAAGAACGCTTTATAAAAGGAAAATCAATTATATGGACACTTTAAGCTTAACCTGAGGAGTAATAAATTCTACACATAATTTCATAAGAAAATTCTCGGAATTTCTATTTGGCGGTGCTACTGGTTGGAATTACCTTAAATATCATTTAATTATATAATTGTGTTGCATCAAGTTTTAAACAAGTTACCTATTTTTCAAACTTGTGTTTGGGGATATATAGAACTTTTCACTCGATATATGTACATAGTTTTTCCGGCAGCGCAAATCTGTCAGTAAAAATCCAACCATATATATATGGATGGATTTATATAATATATAATTCAGAGAAAAGTTCCATTATTTCCCACAAAATATTTTAACTGTTCTACACCCACCAAATACCATTTTGGAACTGGTGTGTGGAGGTATAGGTGGAGCCGCTTTTCCCAAAAAGACAATTTACAGCCGATATATAATGTATTATATTTAATTTTGGAATAGTTAATGGGTGTATTCGGTAAAAGTCATTTTGGTAAAACTTTTAAGACAGTTACAATTTCTCATTTGGGCACTTTAAGTAGAAATGCATATTCTAGCTGGAAATATTAATGCGAATGTATGTATGTATGTTACTTATTATGATTACATCGATGTGATTTTATTCAATTTTTGAACGAGAAAAGCAAACGAAACAATTATATGGACGCAAAATACAAAACGCGGCGCCAGAAAGTTAAACAATAAAAATGAGCATAGCCAATTTAAAAGTAGGTGTGAATGTTGTTATGTATGTATGTCATGTTTCAAGCGCTTTATGTAATAAATGTAAATATTTAAATATGCGGTGGCTATATGTTAAACCAGACTACCAGAAGCCACCGGATGAGTAACCACCAGGTGGCACTCGACCACGAGATGGTTCGCTGGCATTCGTCGACTTGTTGTCACTGCCGTTGTCTTTGTTCTGTTGACTGGGCGGCTTGGATTTGACCTCTTCCTTTTGGATGTTAATATCTTCTAGCAACTTTTCCACCACTTTGTTGGGGTCAGTGGAACCCATGCAGGCATTCAAATTAGAAGAATTCTGTTGATTGTATTTGGGACGTGGTGCATTCACTGCGACTTCGGGCTCAGAGAATATATTTGTATGTCCACCGCCAGGTGGTTTCAGTACACGACTGGATGGACGTGTGCCATTGTTAATGCCAATTTTCAATTCGGTGGATGTCATTATTGTTGTAAAGTAACTGAAAATACATAGAGACATAATGGCGTTTATTATGGCTTATTCCTTAATAATCAACGTGAAATGAATATGCCGCAATATAATATACTATGTATGTATGTATGCATACATAGCCTACATATACATACATACGTATATGCACATGCATATACATGCATACATATGTATGTATGTATATACATACTAGTGAACTTTACATATGTATGTATGTACACATTTCACACCCTATAGGAATAGTCACGCCACTCACAACCATAAAACGATGACGAGCCCCAACTAAATGGTCGCGTCATAAGCTTGCGATGGAGTAAGTGAAAGATGGGGAAATGGGCAGAGAAAAATAAGAAAAAGAGAATGTTCGACACATCGCCAAGTACACGAATGAAAAACTTTTGTCTGCCCTATCCGATTTGGCTGTCTAGTTTTATGTATGTGTGCTTGTTTGGCTCTGCACACTTTTCTACATAAATTGTTCCTATTTTTTGCGCGCCGAGTTTTTTTACACTCTTCCGTTAACTGTAATTGCTCGCTTTGTTGCCGTAGCACTTTCTCGTTGTTGTTGTTGTGGCTATCACTTTTGGTGTCAAGCGTTGGGTACAGTGGGTACAGTAAGCAAACAAATCGAAGTTTTATACATTTTCACTTATAACGTCTATACAAAACTTTTTGAAATACTTGCATACATAATAGACCGCCAAACCTGACATGGTAAAATACCTGGTTTTTTTTCGCTAACTCAGGACAGTGTGCCAACAAATTTTGCTTTTTATGATTCTGTTCGTCTGTTGTCTGTTTTCAAAATGTAAAAGGGGTCAAGTAGGGTGCTAGAGCAGCAAGTGTTGTAAAACGTGATGCGTATTGTAAAAGATGCGTCACCCGATGTGGGTTGTGCTAAAAACCCCCTCCCTACGAGGGTGATAACACACAATTATGTTGAGGTATGCTCAAACAAAAGCAAGTGAATGACCGCGTAATGCAAAGATGTCAAAGATCTCTAAATGGCCTTTTGTTGCTCTCTTAGTTTCCATTGCAACATGTGCATACATACACAAAAGTAAATATTCTATAAATACATACAAATGTTCATATGTACGTGTATGAAAATACTCAAGAAAAAAAAGGAAACAAAATTATGATATACATACATACATATGTACATATATACATACATATGTATGTACGAGTAAAAGCACAAATAAGCTATTAAGAGAATAGCAAATGAGACCGGCGGCGCACACACCTCAATCATGTAACTACACACACATGTACATATGTATGTATAGGTAATTTTTTCTCCTCAGCCAATTCTGTACTTTTGGTTTGGACATTAGTTTGTGTATGTGTGTTAGTGCTTGATTGTATTGTTGCAAACAAATTTATGAGTAATGAGCAATAGCAATCTGGATATAACCCGAAATCGAGTCAGTGTATGCACGCATGTACACACATACATATGAATAATTTTATACCTATGTACATTTAATATCTCTTTTCGTTGTTTGTTAATATACTCCTGATTGTTAAGACGGTATTAAACGCACCATTGCTTTTGAACGAACATATGTATATACATAGATGTGTACATACATACCGATATATGTATGCATGTGTGCGTACAAAATGATAAAAATACATTAAGGCGTCCGATCAGAAACGCTAAAACACACATTTTAAATGTATACAACACACATACACATGTATGTACATATTATATACATATGCGCGTTATGAAGACTAAATCAAGTTTTGCGAGTGATGAAGCCTACTTATTTTTAAAAGGTAATGGCGATGCACAACATTTAGCTAAACAACAAATCTACTTTGGCGTCGCTTCCCAACAGCACCAAAAAGATCACAAAATCATGCCAACAGCGACACCAGAAAGCGCGGCTGGTCTTAAATTCGGTTTGTACTGCCTTTAGCCAGTTTTCAATACAACAATTTCCATTAGCCATGTTGCATGCATCTCTCCCTGGGTAAAAAAAAAAAGCCTGAAATAATCCAAACGAAAACCCATGGCTATTTTAATGAACACCTGCTCCGTCGAGAGGAAAGGGAGGCGCTGTCGACGAAGAACAGGGAATGGGGATGATGTTTTATTTATAATGCAAATTGCCTTATGCTGCTGTAGTCAACATATGGCAGCTGCATTAAGAAAAATTTAACAGCAGCTGCATTTTATACACACACACAAGTGTTCGCCCTTTTGTCGAGCCCAACACAACTAGCACATAAAGCAGACAGACACGATTGGTCAAAATTCCGTGACATCAAGTAAAATTATGATGATGTTGGTTTTGCTTTGGCATTATTGATTTATTTAATGAGCACGAGAAACATATGAACGAATAGTTGTTTGAAGTTAGTAACGCTTCCGTTTTATTTACCTTGTTAGATTTGTCGAACACCAATTGATTTGTTGTCACACAAATGCGGAATTTTTAAAGAGTTTAGCGCTGAATTGGATAGACGCGCAAACCTCACAGATTGAACGGTTTATTTCAAATGAGCATAATTATTCGACCAAGTCTCCTCCATGGTATCGATACCACAGTTGTGGTTGTGTCTACCTTACACATTTTACAACACTAATATGTTTCCATCGATCTGGCAAGCTAACGGATAATAAAAATAACACATATTTTTATTTGAATATTTGTTAAAAAATTTACTTAAGTGTAATAGTAAATTTTGTCATTTTTTGTAAACACCTACAGGAAGGAAAGATGAGCATGATGAGACTAACTCTTTTCAGTTTCAATAATTACTGTCCAACACCTTAAAATCATCACTTTGGTCCCGGATGTGTTTTTCGTTGAACACAATTTAGAGACCGTTCTTTTCAGGTCAATATACATGCATACATATGACGGATCCACATTAAGTTAAAAATTGCGTCTAATGGAATATATAATATACAGACGCAGTGGAGACTTACTTGGAAGCCGACAAAAAAACTTTATAGCTACATATCTTTATATTCATTTTCACTGGTAAATACCATTTGCTTGCAGTATTTGTATATCTTATTGAGACTGAATTGGGATTTTAAAACAGTCTACTACAGCTGAGCTGGCTAGTTAGCTTTCGTTTTTTTTTTTATCCCCTTGCCTCATATTACAGAGAATCGATTGGCACCCAGCTTATATTTACATGGTTTTTCAGCACACGATGAAATAGTTTTAGTTAAATTTAAATTGTTTCATATATCTTTCTTATATCTACATATATCTATCTATAAAAATCAATGCCACTTTTCGTTGTAATTTTATAACTCAAGAACAGGCTTACCTATCCAAACCAAAAGTTTAAGCTTTATTCGGACTATTTAATAGATGGTTTATGGACGTTTGGACAAAATCGGTTCTTCATTTATCACATTTTTTGTAACTAATGAATTCAATAAATGGCGAATCATTTTGTTAATGGGGATTTTGCTGTCAAATTGAAACTTTTTTCAGATGGGGATTGTGAGGTGAATTTGGGGGAATCATGTTTTTCACATGGCCAACTTTATGTTGTCTGTTCCAGAATCGGTACCCCCAGCCGTTTGTTTATTCATGCTCAAACTGGAAAAACAAAAAATATTGTTTATACAAATATTTTGGCAAGTTTTAAAATAGCTAGCAATTCATATAATATTTTTTGTTTAAATAAATGAATTTGATGTTCCGCTAGCTTATTATAAAGCGTATGTTTCTTTTGCGGGCCATATATAGTTAATTTCATTTTAAATCCTTGAAGGGTACAACATCTAAAACAATAAACAACAATTTAAACAAAAAAAAAACCGATTTCAAACTATTAACAGGCACTAAAAAGTAAAAAATAATTGCGTATTCTTCTACAACTTAATATTCAATATATAATGTAGATACAAATATTGTTCTTTTTGGAGTCGGTGTCAGCGGTCGCGCGCCGCGCCATTCAAGAGACAGAGGCACTTCATTACGAACCATTTCAGATTCTTTTCTCTTTCTATATCTACTTCGTCATTCTTACGGTAATTCCTTGTTTAATGTTGACTATATTTTTGTATCAGCATTTCCTTGATTACCCGTATGTCTCAGCATAGTGTCGTATTAAAATTCATTTGATTCGTTTAATTAGGTACCGGTTTATTTGTTGTTTCAAGGTAGCAGATATTGTCACAGTAGTTATACGTGTATTGTCGTATAAAAGTTAATTTGAAATTGGGTTTAATTAGGTATTGGTAATCTGTCACAGTATATTGTCGTTCGTATAAAAGTTAATTTGTAAAAAAAGTATTTCTTAAAGTATTCTCATATTATTACTGGTAGATTGATTGATTGATTGATATATTGTAGTGTTTCCTTGGCTGACACCGACTCCAAAAATAACAATAATTGTATCTACATGATATATTGAATATTAAGTTGTAGAAGAATACGCAATTATTTTTTACTTTTTAGTGCCTGTTAATAGTTTGAAATCGGTTTTTTTTTTGTTTAAATTGTTTATTTTTGGATTTTTAGTGAATGTGAAGAACACTAACTAATGTGTATGAATATGGGTAGACCTAATAAATGTGTTTCTCATATGAGAGAGCGCCACTCTTGTTCTCAATATATTTTGTCGAAAACGTTCATCACAATGTCTGTCGTCTGCGAATATCTTCTGTTCTGATTTGTTGAGTTGCGGCTCTTGTTGCAGTTTGTTCTTCTGACTTTTGAGCTTTTAGAACGCTGGGGTCGTGTATTTTTGCTACACGCACTGTTACGGTTAGATTTTTTCGACGGCATTATACTGAAATTGAAATTCTATTTCACATGATATCTCATTTAAATTTGACACTCATCTACCGGGTGCCTTCGCATGATATCTAAAACCCATGAAAATTTTGTATGTTTTAAGAATTATATGGATTTCTCATGGATGCCATTGTCAGAATTGGACCAAATTAAAATGGGACCACATGGGAATCATCAGCTTTCAAATACAAAAGGAATCATCAAAATCGGTTTACACAGTCGAAAGTTCTGAGGTAACAATGAAAAATACAGTCGAATTGAGAACGTCCTCGTTTGCAGAACCTAACCAAACTCTCATCAAAGTACCCTTGAAGTACATCCTTTCTAATAAAAAAAGAATCATAGAAATCGGTTATCGTGATATAAAGTTATTCGTTCATTTGCCTTGCACATACTTAATAAAAATTTAAGACTTATGATGTTTTCTCATGGATGCCATTGTCAGAGCTGGACCAAATTGCAATGGGACCACATGGGAATCATCAGCTTTCAAATACAAAAAGAATCATCAAAATCGGCTTACACAGTCGAAAGTTCTGAGGTAACAATGAACAATACAGTCGAATTGAGAACGTCCTCGTTTGCAGAACCTAACCAAACTCTCATCAAAGTACCCTTAAAGTACATCCTTTCCAATAAAAAAAAGAATCATCGAAATCGGTTATCGTGATATGAAGTTATTCGTATATTTGTCTTGCACATACTTAATACAAATTTAAGACTTATGCTGTTTTCTCATGGATGCCATTGTCAGAACTGGACTAAATTAATATGGGACCATTCTGGAAGCACCAGCTTTCAAATAGTATAAGAACCATTAAAAACAGTTCACCTAGTCGAGTGTACCGAGGTAACAAACATAAAAAAAAAAAAAAAAAAAAAAATACAGACGAATTGATAACCTCCTCTTTTTTGAAATCGTTTAAAAAGGATACGTATTGCTAACATTGCACTTTTAAAGCTTGCGGCATTTTTTAATTACGATGCGTACACGGTGTCCCATTACATGACCGGGCAAGTCGCTTGTAAAGACAGTCTTCTTCTTTGCATATACTGTCGTTTCCGCAGCGGCAGCCTTTTCTGGATCAGCCGTAGAATCAAGTGCATACTATAATCATGATTAACAGCTTATTTCGCGCAGGCGTTGTACAAATCTTTGTTGTATTAAAATTTTTTGAATGCAGGCTCCGAATCTAGGGATCGACATACCAAAGCAATGTTTTACGGTATGTTGACCTATCACGGGTCATAGCTCCTGAAAATCAATTTATTTTGCTACCACAAAATAAAACATCAAATATCTTTTACAGAGAACCTCTGACTTAATAAAGAATAACAAAAAAATCGAAAAACGAACAAAAAATCATTAAAATAATAATATCCAAAATAAATTTCACTCCTTCTTAGTAACTCATAGCAAAAAGAAGGGTGTGTGTTAAGTGTGTGTGTGTTATAAAAGCTATAATTTGTAAAATTTTTGTAAAAATACCCGTGCGAAGCAAAGGCAGGACGCTAGTTTTTCAATAAAACATAAAATGGATCATATTGCAATCAGGTCACAGCTTATTTCGTGCAGTGATTTACATTCATACATACAATGGTTAACCAAAATCCAGTTCTTCTTTTTCCATTATAATTATTACCTAATTTATTTCCAAAAATGGTACGTTTTCCCCAATTTAATATAAATATTTTAGCATTCTTAAGAATGGGTCGCCTATTGGGGCGATAATTGGTTCTCAAGCATTATGAAGGCATGAGCCAACAGAAAATAGAAAAACTCGTAGTTCTGAAAGTTTTGTATGTGAGAATAAGTAGCCATTAAGGGTCGAAAAGCTCCAAATAAGATTTTCACGGACTCAGATAAGTGGCGTATAGTATAAAAAATTAAAGAAAACGATATCAGTTCCAAAATCTCGTTCTGAAGCCAATCTCATGGTGGAAAGACATCATTTTTGCAGACGAGCCCAAATGAAATACTACCAACAGAATTAAGCAGGAATGGCTTAAGCCGAATAATCAGCTTCAAAAGAAACATCCTATTCCTACATTTAAGCACGGAGCAGGAGGTGTACATGTTTGGGGCCGTAGGTCTGCCCCGGAGTCGGAAAATTGGTTTTCAGGAAGGAATCATGGACAACAATAAATTGAAAATTTTGCTCCAAAGTGCCAATATGTTAGGATTGCGGGATCGTTTCCGATTTTACAAGATAACGACCCAAAGCATAAGTCGGGAATTGTGCAGACCTGATCTTTTTTATTATACCCTGTACCCAAAGGGTATACTAGTTTTGTGTGAATGTATGGAACACACAGAAAGAGGCGTGACCCCCAAATGTATATATATTGTTGATCACGATGATAAGCCGAGCCAATATAGCTATGTCCGCCTGTCTGTCCGTCCGTCAGTCTGTATGAACGCAAGGATCTCAGAAAGTATAAGAGCTAGAATTACCAAACTTGGCATCCAGGTTCCCCTAAGCCCTAGGCAGGTCAAGTTTGTTTTTTTATTTTGATACACCCCCCTCCCCCGCAATTCGTGTTTTTTCTTATAACCTCCGTAATTCTTGGAATTTTGAAATAAATTTTGGTAGTGCTTATGTGTCCGTGTGCGAAGTTTCATCATGATAGAACAATTCTGAAGAAAGTTATAGCCATAAGTAAAATCGCTGCTCATGCGCTGCCTGCAGCTCTGTCGGCAGCGCTGCCCGCAGCTGTTGTTGTTGTTGCTGCTT